CTACATTGCCAAACTCACTTATTAAATCTAGTTGTATCAATGGTTTTTAACTGTACTTTTTGTTTTCTACATGATTTAAGAGATTATTACATTAAAAAAATAACTCTGATTATTAGTATTCAAACTAATATTACTATGACTTTGGTTTGTAACTCTAAATTTTGTTTTCTACATAATTTAAGAGATTAACAAATTTAAAAGAATTATTAGTTTATGTTTTGGGGCACACAATGTATACAGATGTAATTCAGTGACATTAACAACCAAAAGGCGTAGGGACAAGGATGCAAAGGAACAAAGTTTTGTATGTTATGGAGGTTAAGCTGATATAAATTAAAATTAGAGGGTTATAACTTTAGGATGTTAAACGTAACCTCATGGTAACCACAAAAGGAAATAAGAGAGAACCAAGATGGTGGTGTAGGCAAATGCCTGTACTTGCTGCCTCCCACAACCACATCAAAATTACAACTAAAATAAAGAACAACCATCATCCAGAACCACCAGAAAGCTGGCTGAATGGAAGTCCTACAACTAGATAACTAAAGAAGAAAGCATACTGAGACTGGTAGGGGGTGCAGAGGTGCTGAACAAGCTGGTCTGGCTCCCACTTGTGCCATTTTTTTAATTGGGAGGGAGATCATCTCTGTGGAGGCTGCCCAGAGGAGCAAAGGGTCCCAATCCCACACCAGATGCCCAGCCCAGGGTCCCAGAGCTGGGAAAAGAATCCCTACAGGCAGTAAGAACTACAGGCTGTAAAACCAGTGCGGATTGGGGCTGAGTGACACACAGGCTGCTGGAGACCCAACTGCTCCTCTTATAAGGCCGATTGAACTTACAAGCTCCTGCTTCCTTTGAGCTCGAGTGCCTGGTGAGGCTCTGGAGAACCCAGACACATACAAGGAGAAACTGGACTGTCTGGCATCAGGGCAGGAACTCAGCGGTGGCTTTCTTCCAGACAGAGGTGCTTACAGTGGTCATTGTTACTATGCTGGGACCTGTCCGGTCGCAGGGCTGACTGGCAGCCATTTCTGTTTGCTCCACCCTGGTGATTCCCTGAGATCCCGCCCCACCCAATTTACAACCCCACCCAAGCTGCGGGCAGCAGCTTTTTCATATGAATGGCCTGTCCTTTCTCAGGCTAAAAACCTATCAAACAAGCTGCAGCTGGGTCAGGGAGCACCAAAGCTATCAATAAAAAGCCTAAGACCCGGCACCAGCCTGTCTTGCTTCACAGCTAGGCCTCATCTGCGCACTTCCAAACCCGATACAAAGAGGAGGAATCTGCAGATCTCTCTGTAGCTCCTGCTGGGTGGCCCCAGGCAGTGGCTGACTTTGCACCTCTCTGGAGACCCAAGAGCCAGTGTACCCAGTGGTCA